ATCCGAAAACCCGAGGTCCGACCCGAGACCCGAGCGGGTTCGGGTCCAAAACTTCGACGAATACCTCGGACATGGGTCGGGTTCGGTATTAGCGACCTCGGGTCTCGGGTAATTTAAAATAAACATGCTTTTCTCAAATGGACCCGATTAGACCTGAATTCTTTTAAACTATCCCCAATGCATAGGTTACTTTCACTTCGTGTTAAGAGAGGAACACACATAGAGAAGGAGCATACGTTCGTAATCCTCGCACACAGACATCATCTTATAGATATGAGATCCATCAGGAAAATCCACTCGCTTCATTATGCTGCGTGTTCATGCAGGGCTTTGCTCTTTTGTGTGCAGAAGCCTTTCGCCGGAGATCAGGTTGCAGACAACAGCGAATCCATGATTAGGCTATTGATTTATTTTTTTTATCAAACTATCACGTTTATTTTTCAAATCCACTGGTCGCAATTGAAAGCGGAGCTCAGAACCTTGTATCTATTAGGCAGGCACTAATATAAAGTAACCTAATAATAAATTGAATAAATGTTAAATAAATCAAAGTAATGGAGAAGAGGCCAAATCAGTCAACAGGAAACCGGGATTTTTCCTGACTGACTGCGGGGCTGCAGGCTGGACACACGTCAATGCCGTTTACGTTCGGGTCCAGTCGGGTTCGAAAATAAATGCCGCCGGGTCGTGTCGGACTCGAGTCTAATTTCATCGGGTCTGTCTCGGGTCGGGTTTTTCTTTTAAAAAAAATTAATTTATGCACATCGGGTTCGGGTAAGAAGTGATTCGGGTCGGGTACAGATTTTAGGACCCGAGAAGACCTCTACTGTGCAGTGAGCGGCAGAGAAGCAGCGCATTCAGTTGGCTGCACTGCAGCCGACTTGTCAATAAGTGAGTACAAAACAGCATTTCCTAGCACCTGTCGCTTACTGATTGCTTGGAATTATAAATATGAGCGTAGTTCATATCACATGCACTCTTTTTTTGTTTGTTGTTTTTTTTATTTATTTTTTTTGTTACTCGGACACAGGCAGCACGCTGCATGAGACAAAAAGTAATATAGCCAAAACAACCGCATAGCCGCTCTTTAGTGTAGATGCATGTTGATTTTATCAGACGATGCCACGATTATAAATGAGAGTGACTCCTGGTTAACGTATTAAAAGGGGTCGTGTTTAGTCACTATTTAGTGTGGTATTTTTTGACAATTTTCACTCATCATGACAGTAAAATAGTGCATTCTAAGTCAATATACTGCAGTATTTCCTCTCTCAATCAGTAGAAAATATGGTTAACACCCGGTCATGCATGAAAAAAAAAATACCGTCATGTACCGTGAAACCGGTCTAATTTTGAAAAATACCGTGATATAAATTTTTGGTCATACCGCCCAGCACTAATTAAAGTCACTGCATACTAAAATGTATTTAACTTGAATTCCAGGTAATTGTTTGCCTATTTAAAGGGCATTTTTCCCTTAAATGCATGCGTCATCTTTCATCTCAAATTCTTACATTTTAGTAATGATTACACTTAATATAAGACGACACTATAGGGATGTTACCAGTCAAATTAAATCCGTATGAACAAAATCAATTAGGCCTGTCGCAATAATCTATATTTTGACTTATCGCGCAATATATGTACATGACCTCAATAATTTTTGGTGACGCAATATATCGCCTATTATATTTACTTAAAAATGAATGTCACCATGTTTTGTACATTCCACTTGTGCCTGGGTCTTTTGCAGCTTCTCATACATAACGTGGTGTAGTCATGAGGTGCAAGTTCAAAATTAAAAAATGCTTCTACAAAAAAAGTTTCATCTGTAGATATGGTCTTGTTTAGGGATCTGTGCCTTTGTGCATACGGACATCTGATTGCTAAGTAGCGATTGTGTTTTTCAGCAATAGTGCGCACCCTTAATTTAAAGAGAAAAGAAGGTCAGGGAAAAATCTGTAGATGGAAAAATGTTCATACAAGTTCTTTGTGCATTTTTCTTTTTTTCTACTTGTTACTTTGCACTTTTTGTTAGAAAATGTTTATTTACTATTTATTCAGGTTTTTTAAGGTATCTAATATTTTGATACTTAATTTCCATGATCTAAATATTCTTAAAAATTAAAAGTTTGTTGTCATTTGGAAGTGTGTAGGCCTTCTTGCATTATTATGCTGTTACATTATGATTATATATTCAGTGGCATAAAATGTTCTTTAAAATGACAATAATATCGCTTATCGCAATTATTTCTGGGGCAATATATCGCACATCAAAAAGTTGTTATCGTGACAGGCCTAAAATCAATCTTTCCACTGCATTAGAAACAGAAGCAGCTGAAGTGGCATTTAGATGCATTTACACAGACAGTTTAATGAAGCTGAAATGTAGCAAGAATTTACACTGCAAAATTACAACAGCATAAATAATGTTATGAGGTTGTTTTTTTTTTGTTGTTGTTGGTTTAAATTTTTTTATATATACAAATATGAAATGTTGGGAAAAAATGCAAAGATAAGCTACTTTTAAATAAGAAAGTAAACCGCCGCTAGGTGACAGCAAGTGACTGTCTAAATGAGTGATTGAGGCGCTCAATCTTTATGAATGGACCACTGAATCATTGACTCAAATGATTAATTCAAAAACGCTGAATCATTCAGTAACGAAACCGCTGTGTGTTGCTCAGATATGCATGACTGTTCTGCTGTGATCTTTGTTTGGAGCTATTTTCGTTAATCAAATCGAGCAAAAACAGTCAACATTGACAATACTGTACTAAAATGTAAGTCACTTAATATTAACTAGCTCGTTTGAACTTGTATAAAATCAATGTCAAATTTGCAGTCATGATTTTCAGGGAAAACTGCACTTTCTTGGTTGTGTCATGTTGCTTAACTAGACTATATGTTATAAATATAAAAACTACATTTTTACCGCAGCATGTTTCTTCTGTGTGCAGTTGTGTTCATTTGTTTTGATTTCTCCATGAGATTGTTTCACACACAGACAGGCTTGACCGTGTTACCCGCCACTGCTGAAATCCACCTACATTTGGCGGATGTTAATGTCAAGCCTTGACTGTATATTAGAAAGCATCAATTTCAGTTATAAATAAAAAGAATATTTAAGAATACTATAACTTACTATCATTTTTAGTGAGATGGATGGGCCTGCATGTTTGCACACAGATCATCAAATTCCTTCTCTTGCACACCCCTGGTGGTCAGTCTACTCTGTCACCTTGTTTGTTGTGTGTGTCTGCGTGTGTACGTGTGAGCTGTTTGTAAGTACTGTGGCTAGAAAAGACACAGGAATGTCAGAGCTATCCAGCCATGCTTCAAAACCATTAGGGATTAATTGACTTTTCTCATATGAATAGTGAAAATAGTAGAAGTGAAGAAACAAAAAATCTAAGCCTTGAAATATGCCTTAATTCATCACTAAATCAGTACTAGATAGGAAAAGTTCAGTTTATTCATTTATTTATTTTAAAGAATGATTCAAGTATTTTGTACATATTTCTGATTTTTTTCAGCTTAGATGCGTTTCACTATGACTACACTGACAGAACCAATGACATGCATTCTGTTTTTTTGGCAGTTACCAAGTCATCAGCACACCAACAGACATCTTCATGGTAATGGAATATGTGTCAGGAGGAGAACTCTTTGACTACATCTGTAAAAATGGAAAGGTACATCTTCAGTTTTAATTTGTGGGTTATGATTAGGGCCAGAAAATGGAGTATAAAAATTGTGTGAATAAATTTTTAATGTAGTATTTCAGTTTTGCAGAAAGTGAGAGAATAAATGCCACTGTCATTGATAAACAAATGCATCATAGAGCATTTGTATTATTGTCAATCCATCAGAGCTCAACAAAAAGAAAAAGTGCAATCATTTTGATAACAATAATTAACCAATACCCATACAATTTAGGTTTAAGTGATCTGTAATATTGAAATCCTAAATAGAATGCAAGTAATTTGCTATTTGTTTAAATTAACTTTAACTTTAATGCCATTGGCATAAAAAAAGACTAGTCCCTTACATTAGTTTATTACAGTTCATCTGAGCACGTGTTGCTTGAGGAATAATCTTTTCCAATCTTGCCAGAATAAGTCAATTAATCTCAGTGTTTTTGTGAGACTGTGGAGGGTCCTAATTTCTACACTTGCAAGCAGGGGCCTAAAACTGACTTTTTGCCACACCTGCCAATGGCTGTTGACTTGAGAAAATTTACCGGCCATAATAATTTTTTCCTGGCCATGAAACTGTAAAAACGGGCAGTTGTTTTTACTACAACAACTAAACATATTTAATAAAAAAAAATTTGAAATTAGCATTTTAATCAGGATACAAACAAAGATGCTACACACATGTAGCATGAGCAGTTTTTGATTTAAATTCGATTGTATCATTTCAACATTTAAAGCAAAAACAGAATGGTCTGACTTTAGCTTTGTGAAATTATGCTAAAACATTACCTGCACGAAACAAAAACAGCAGACAGGCTTGAATGAGAATGCAAGTTCACTCTCTGACAGCAGGTGGCGCTTATGGAACAGCAGTGATAAGAGGGGAAAAAATGCCATCGAAACTTTTCATAAGACAGTCAGTTCCCTTCAGAAATACATTCATATAAACCCCCATCCCAATATTTTTCTTCTAATAAACAGTGAGCTTGCTGTGCCTGTTCAGTATTTTCTTTGTGCGAGTCAGTTAATTTTAGGCCCTGCTTGCAAGAGATAAACCCTTGAGCTTTTATTTTAAAGGAATCTGCAGTTGAGCTTTTATTTTTGCGGAAAGCTCCAGCTTCTGTGAAAACAGGTTTACAAACGTGTCTCATTACTAATCTAGTGAAATACTGTAATCATCTGCCCATTACAATGTTGAAAGTTATGCGAATGTGAAAACAAAGTGTAACCGGTGCCCATTGCGTTGCCAGATGTGCTCTAAATTCACAGCACATGCAGAAATAGTTCACTGGATTCACTTTGAACTGAGCCATTCTGAGACGCTTTATTCAACAAGCATTAAATTGGTAAAAAATGACAGAAAAGACTTTTACTTTGTAAACATTTTTTTTTAATTCTTTTGAACTTTTTATGCATCAGAAAATCCTGAAAAATGCATAAATTTATACAACAATATTAAGTTTTCAACATTGATGATAATAATAAGAAATGTTAATTGAGCACAAAATCAGCTTATTAGAATGATTTCTGCGGGATCGTGTGACACTGAAGACTGGAGTAATGGCTGCAGAAAATTAAGCTTTGCCATCACAGGAATTAATTACATAAAAAAAAAAAAAAGAACCTTACTGACCCCAAACTTTTGATCAGTAGCATATATCAGGGGCCACAAAAACGGCACAGTAGGTTGCAAATAGGAGAACTTTAAACTGAATGTTCAGTTCAGTCCACATGGGAGATGTAAAAGTACATGTTCCTGTGTCTCTGGTCAGTTGGACGAGAAGGAGAGCAGGCGTCTGTTCCAGCAGATCATCTCAGGGGTGGATTACTGCCACAGACACATGGTGGTGCACAGAGACCTCAAGCCTGAGAACGTCCTGCTGGATGCACACATGAATGCCAAAATTGCAGACTTTGGTATGTGAACTCTTTATATTTAAGAAACATGAACCAAGTTAGGTTGTTGTTGGATTTGCGCTTTCTTTAATGTCTATATTACTTAAACTTTGACTTTTCTTCATGTAGGCTTGTCAAACATGATGTCGGATGGAGAATTCTTAAGAACGAGTTGTGGTTCTCCTAATTATGCTGCTCCGGAAGTCATCTCTGGAAGGTACTGTTTACCTCTGCTGCTGTATTTACGTTTTTTTTTTTTTTTTTTTTTTAACCTTCTCCTTTAGAAAAAAAGTTTTTTTTA